CCTTGGGTGAGATAATAGCATTTCTATAGGGCTGTCCGGCAGTGTTGTACTTGTGTAAGAAATGGGAATGCACTTGTAAGATCCTGACTTTGTTTTCTCCTCTCAAACAGTTGCATTGCTGCGGAATAAAGAACTACACCAGCTGGCAGAACACAACCTGGTTTAAAACTAATCACACAGTGCCCAAAAGCTGCTGTATGAAAAATGCCACTCATTGTACTGGAGACCTGAAGGAGCTTGACCAGATCTACACGAAGGTAAGATGATCACTGGCTTTATGGAAGGGTGGGGACTTGGCATGCCCATGGCAGGGTGGAGGCTTGGGATCTGACTACGTTCAGTCTTTCCAGTTAGGTTTCATTTCTTGAATAGAGGAGATGAGATGCTGCCAGCTCTGGTTATGTAGAGGGAATGGGTATCGGGGCTGCTAGCTCTGCTTATGTAGGGAATAGTTTTTGGTGCCAACTTTTAAACCCATTTGACCCACTATATCAGCCTTTCTCAACATTTTTATCCCAGAGGATACTTTGAAGACATTTTCATGTCTCAAGGAACCCGTGCTTAATATCAGGGGTCAGTGGGAAGAATGTATCTTAAATTGGTGATCAGTGAATGCCTTCCGTACAGTGGTGGTCAGAAAATCACTGTTACAGGCAGCTTAGAGGATCATTGGTGTCATGGTGCTGGCTTTTCCAAGTTGGATTTGGGAATATACAGGCACCATCAAATGGGAGGTCAGTCAGCCACTGCTCAAGGAATCCCTAGCAATTTCTAGAGGAACCCTAGTATTCCATGGGATCCTGGTTGGGAATGGCTGCAGTAAACTGCGATTGGCTGGTGTTTGGGACCTCACATAAACCTGACATCCTCTCCTGATCCAGCCAATCTGCCCTCTTATGTTTCTTGGGTCGCAGTATGGTGGGGACATATAACAGATCACAGCTGAAGCTAAAACTGACAGAAAACCTTACTAGGAACTGTGGTATGATGGTCTACCTGGTTGCAAATAATTTGAGTGGATTGTCCTGGAAGTCCTTATACAGTAGAGCATATGGGCCAGTAAAATTGTGTTCTGACCAAATCTGTAGAAAATTTGTGTGCCCAGCATTATTTAGCAGCTGAATCAGATGTTTACCTTCAGTCCTGGAGATTGCACCTTGTTAAACAGGTTGGCTGCCAGGACTTCTTTTTTTTTTTTTTTCCCCCTTTTGTGCAACTCGAGCAGTATGTCTGTCTGGCCCTATATTCAGTCCACTGGTTTGTGGGTCCTAGTCAGGGCAGGAAAAAGTTCAATGGTTTTAGGCTATATTTTGCTTTTATCTATGGAATACTTTACAGCAGGTCCATCCCCAAAATATTATTCACTATTACATATGCAAGCTTCTTTTAAAACATATACTGTACCTACAATACCAATGCTGATTCCACTCCTTCCTTTACCTAATGACACGGAGTGCTGAGTGAAGGATCTTCTGAAGCAGCAAGCCTCTGGGTTGACCTGTACAGCTAAATAAACAGCGTATATTGAGCAATTGTTCAGATCAATAATAACTCTTGTTATATTTTTCAGGGCTGTGAGGCTGAAGTAGAGGACTTGCTACAAAGAGTCCTCGGCGTGTCCATGCTGATCATTCTTGGCTTTGTGATCGTTGAGGTAGGTGGAATTCCTAGTGCCAAATGTATTAAAAATAGAAGTTTTTTTGTTTATGCAGGATGCCAGAACTAGGCCGAAACTGGGCATTATTTATTCGTGTTTAAGGGGGACTCTGTCACAGTCTGGCTGATGTATCAGACTCCAGGAGCCCTGCTTGATGTGGAACACCACTCAACCTTGTTTACTTCTTAACTGGCCAGATAGGTGGATAACTAAATTAAAATGGCGAGGGGAAAATTAGACTGGGTTTTTTTGGGGCGGGGTTTTGGAACACCACAATTCCCCCCTCCCCCCCTTCCCCGGAATATGCCTTGGATGTGACTCTCACAATTGAGAGTTTAATATGTGTTCCTAAAAGAAAAAAGGCTGCAGGCAAAAAATGTGTTCACGAAAAACAAATTTTTCGTGGACAAGGTGGCAAAGCACCTTGTCCCCATGTTGATTAAGACAAGGGTCTCTCCCCCACAACCCTTGCCTGGTGGTTGTGGGGGGGTCTGTGGGCTGGGAGGCTTATCTGAATTCTGGGTTCCCCTTTTATAACAGGCACCCATATAACAGGCACCCATAGGGGGTAGTTGTTACCCCCTACTCATTCACCAATTATAGTAAATAAACACACCACACCGTATAACAAGTCCTTTATTAAAAAAAACACACAAAGCAGTTTTTGACAACTCTTATTAAAAGAAAACAAATGTAATCTACATGACAATCGCATCAGCCAATGATGTAGATCCATGTCAATCTTGATGGATGATTGCCGCCAACTCTGCGAAAGAAAAAATGTCCGCCACCACAACCAATCCCGACTAACAAAATGACATCACAGGACTTGTTCCACCCTTTTTTCTTTTACATTGTGACATCTCTGTCCCCTATTGGAATGTAAACCAAATGTTTTTTTCCCCTATTGTATCATTTAACATTCCCAAAAAAATTCAGATGCGTCCGAATATGCCGATATTCACCAGAATTTCGATTCGGAACAAAACGAATCGCACATGTCTAGTTCTAACTTGGATGTGTTTTTTAAAGGGTCAGCCCAATCAGAAGTTACATTTTTGCTCTAGCTGGTGCCTGGTCTGAATGGGCCGCTGGCTCCTTATGTCATGTAATTATATAGTGCCGACAATCTCTGCATCGCTTCACATGGTTGCACATTCACATCAGTCCCTGCCGTCAAGGAGCTTGCAATCAAAGGTCCCTATCTCGCATACACATGGGGCTGATTAAATTATGTTGGGGACGACGACAAAATGGTGAATGGCAAATTGGGTAGGGGATGCCAATATAAGTTTTGCCTCCAGATTTTCCACATAATGTGATAACATCACTACCATTCCAGAACATTGGTAAACTAACTGCTCGCTTTGTTTTGCAGCTCATTTGTTTGATAAGCCTGTGCGTGGTCTATCGCAAGAGAAATTCTTGGGGATATGAGACGCTCTAGAAGGAGGCAACATACATCCGGCATGTGAACGAACTCTCAGAACATCGCACTTGCCAGTTTTGCTCATGTGTATATGACCTCCAATTGTTTACCCCACAACCTCTCCTTTTGGACTTTCTCATTCTGATGAACTCGGACGGGGCTGAAGATGTAAAGTAGTGATATAACTTTCCATACTCCATTCAGTGCAGCAGATCATAGAGGGGGGTGAGGGTTTGCTAATCTTCGCTTAGGCTTATTTAATTCCAACTGGCTGAGATCACTCATGTACATGTGATAAGTGCAGAAAAATTGGCTTCTCGAAGTCGATTAGTGTATATTGAATTCTGATTGGCTGATGTGGGCTACAGCACATTGCTTTGCCATGCTTACAATAAGCCAGTTTGTGTACTATATATTCCTTATGAGTTGTGTGTTTTTTTTTTAACATTATTGTGTAAATAAATATGTTTGTGCAATTCTGAAACTTTTTGGAATAAAAATATGCCACTGAATACAATGTCTCAGGTTTTGTGTGATGTAAAGTCGTGTAATGTATATAGTTCAAGGGTATGTTGCATGCAGGGGTCAGGTGTATCTAACATTCATTTTGCAGGGGTCGGGTGTATGTAGCGTACACATGCCGCAACAGTACATATGCCCCAGCGCAGGCCAGCATTGTGTGGTCTGGGCACTATACTGATGGGGCCCAGGGAGAGAGGAAACAATCAGTTCAGCAGGGGGCCCGGGGACAGGACTATTTCACCACATTCGGCCATGGAGTAATATTGGGAGCTGCAGCTCCCATTAATTAAAGAACTACGACCAGAATAAAACTTAATCTTTGCAGTGGGGCTACCCCTGCACTGCAAGGATTAAGTGATCATTTTGGTCTAGGACAGGCATTCCTAAATGGAGGACAGTGGTCCGGACACAGATCGAGTGATGGTTCTGTCCGGATTTGATCACCGCCCTGCACTCGGTTATGGCTGGCTGACAGTGGATACACTGACCTCCGGGGCCAGTGCATCCACTTCCAGCTATTCCCCAGTGCAGGTACCCTCTCCTTCAGTCAGTGGTTGCTAAGACTGCTGGTGTCCTAGCAACCAATGATGTCAGGCAGGGCTGCCAGTAAGGGAATACAGCCAGCCCTCTCCACACCATGGTTTTTGGGGTCCCCCGCTCCTCTAGGGGGCCCTGGACCTTGACTGAGGATGGAGCGCTATATCTGCTCTGTGATGAATGAAGCAGAAAGAACTGCCCTCAGCGATCCCTGCTTCAAAACTGTCATAAACGCAACTGAAGTGTCGGGTGAACAGATCAAACGCAATCCTGTGCTTGGATCATCTGTATTAGAAGGCAAGGGAGACATGAGTCTAATGGACCCCTGAAGTCTAAATAAAGAGAACCTGTGACCTCCAGATACTGTCACATAGGGGCTTGTTATCCACTTTGTGATAGCGAGTTAAAGTATATTAACCCCTTTGCCTATGTACATTACCCCTTCCATGTCTTTCCCCAATTGTATGTGACCTGCTCATTAACCCCTTTATCTCTGTCCTAGGACCTGTAAATTTATTGTATCTATGGCACAATTACCATGCTCTGTTTTACTCCCTAAATACCGGTTTGTTTATTTCCAGATATGTGCTCCAAAAAAAAAAAAAAATCTGGAGTGTCTACGTTCCAAAAATGGGTCTTCATACTATCTTAAATTATTTGATATGTTCTATAACAAAGTAAGGGAAACCCAAGTTTTTTTTTTTTGTATTTGGTTTTCCTTCTATATAGTAAAAAAGGTTATTAAATAAGTGTGGTCCTAACTCTATGTATCCGAGTCTCCAAGTGTGAGCATATTAATGAAGTTGATAAATTACATGCAGGTGTACCTGGAGGTAGCCAACTGCTCCTGATAAGGTGCAGGGACGCACTGGAGGCCCAGCAACCAAAAATGCACGCTGGGACTCCAGTGCGTCCCCCCCTAACCCAAAATAGTCAAACTATAAAAAATGGTACATGCATGAATCTATAACCGGCCTTTATAGCAGGGTGCACATTGGGAAGGCTTACAACAATACAAAACACAAAAATTCCTCAGCCAGCCAGCCTGCAACCAAAACAAGTAGCCCTGTCAACAGTATGCGTTAAAATCAGAGGTTTTAGTTGCACAAACTTTTGGCCAAAAATATGTAGAATATTTTTGGCCAAAAGTTTGCAACTAAAACCTCTGATTTTAACGCATACTGTTGACAGGGCTACTTGTTTGGTTGCAGGCTGGCTGGCTGGCAGGCTGAGGCTGGGGAATTTTTTTGTCTTTTGTAATATTAGCATATTATAAATGGCTGCTCGGCGCGAGAACGGACAATACTGTGCTAGGGGGAGCCTGAGGAGCTTCTCATCTAGTGCAGTAGAAGGCATGTGGCGACCCATTGAACATGGGGTTGCAACCCACTAGTTGAGAACCAAGGGTCTAAATGGTCTGCATCGCTATTATTGATTAGAAGGCTTGTTCCAGCTGGATCAGCCCCATGCTATCTGTAGCCTAGCGTTCTAAAACCAACGGACAGAAATATGGAGCAGAATAGAACGCCGAAACAAACCGGAATGCACTAGGGCAGTGATGGCGAACCTTGGCACTCCAGCTGTTTTGGAACTACAAGTCCCATGAGGCATTGCAAGGCTCTGACAGCCACAGACATAACTCCCAGAGGCAGATGCATGTTGGGATATGTAGTTTTGGCACAGCTGGAGTGCCAAGGTTCGCCACCACTGCACTAGGGTGTTCGGGGGGGGGGGGGGTGCTCTTTAACCATTACAGTATGAGTGTTAAACCCCATTCATTACCCAGCAGCCGTCTTTCAGTTTTCACTGCTGTGAAAGTTGGACTAGCATTTATTCAGTATTGCATTATTGTAACCAAATTCAATTTATACAATTTTTTCAGATATACAGAGCTTTCTTTGGTGGTATTAACCTTTTTTTTTTTTACTATATAGAAGGAAAACCAAATTGTTGTAAGCCTTCCCAATGTGCGCCCTGCTATAAAGGCCGGTTATAGATTCATGCATGTACCATTTTTTTCTAGTTTGGCCATTTATAATATGCTGCCCGGCGCCAAGTGTCAGCTTGACATCGGGTGGGCTGAGGGTATGGCCGCGAGGGAGCTCCATTCATATGTGTATTGATTACAGCTTCCTTGCCCTACAGCAGCCCACACTGGACCCCAGGCTGAAGATCCACTCTAGTTCTCGTAATGTAGGGAGACTGGGTCAATCTTTTGGGAGTGTGTATGTGAGATTGTGTCTGTGGTTGTGTATGTCTGTCAGTGTTTTTGAAGGCGTGTTAAAGCACTGTACCATGCAATAACGCCTACCACGTGTTCTGGTGGGAAAGGTGCGTTGCCATTAAGTCTGCTGATTGTTAACCCATCTCTGAGTGACAATTGTGGCACTGTGGGTTTTGTCTCTCTAGAGACTCCATTCACACAGCAAAAACACATATGTTGTGTTCAGGGCTGTCCATAAGATTTTCGAGGTGATGTCGTCTCTGGCAGAGAATGTTCACCAGGGCGGGCCCTATGTTGTTGTGTTGTTGGGCCCTAGGTTGTTGTGTTCGGGGAAGGGGGGGTGAATGCCGGATCGTGGAATTTTCCTTCACTTTCAGTAATAACGGTCACCAGGATAAATAGAGGGGGTGAATCGGGTGACACAGACAGCGATACAAACTCGACATGGGTTCTAATCTCTCCATTCCTTCCAAAACTAAAAAAAGTGTTGCCTGTTTTTTTGGCACTTTCGTTGTGTTCTTGGTTAACGTTTGAAAGAACAAATTCATTGTTGTCTTTAAAGAGTTTCTGAACTCTGGGAGACGGGCCGACAAAGGACTAGTAACAAGTGAGGAGACTGCACACCCTTAAAGGAGAACTATGGGGTTAAGGCTTTTCCCCATAGTTCTCCTGAGGGTAATGGGAGGACACAAACTAGCCTCCCACCACCCTAAGCTCAGTATACCGCGAGCTACAGCTCACGGTATACTGAGAGGCCGCAGCTGAAGCGGATCCTGACAATTATGTCTGGATCCGCCCAGCTGTGTGAGTGACAGCTGGCTCTGCCTATCTAGAAGCAGAGCCAGCTGTACCCGCCCCCTCCCCCGTCCGTTCCGCCAGTCAGCGCTGGAGGATCGGGGAAATCAAGCCCCTCCCCTGTCACGGCGGAGAGCTGTGACAGGATCGAGAAGTGAGTGAGCGATGGTATATGTTCGCTCACTTCCCGATCTACTGAGCCGACCTGTGACAGTCTCATTGTCACAGGTCGTCTAGAACTATGAGTTCTCCTTTAACAACGTATTAAAGCCGTATTAGAAACATTTCTTTGGGTGCTGTAACTAAAAATGAGGTTTCCACAAGTAAATTCCAATCCCAGGGTAATATTACCAAACAAGAGTAAAACAAAGAGTGTGCAAACTGTCTTGCAGATGAAGGCAGCTCAAGGGTTAAACATCGGCTGGGACAAACCACAATATCAAAGTTTTAAAGAAAAAAGAATTCTATTTATTTCTAATCAAAGACATACAAAAAACATTGCTGGACACGCGGCTGACAGTTTACTGTCAATTGGTTAAAAAACGATGTCTAGTCAGACTGACTTTGATCGGTTGTGAGGTGGATAAATGTACCCTTGATTGGCCGTACATGTATCTCCTATATTTCTAAAGTCTATGGATTATTTAGATTTTTGATACTAGTATGTATCTATTTGGTCTTGTTTAGTAACGATGATTTGGATATGTCTATATATTCTTAAGCTAACTTCAGTTTAGTTGACCCCTTTTGTTCCTTGTTGGTCCTGTGTGTTGCAATTTCTTTGAAAACCATGCCACAGAATTGTCTAAGGTCGACAGTGAGTTGATCTGTGATGGGTTTTTTTTTGGCAGTTTTCCGCATTTTCATTTGGGGATACTTTCAATTAAACTGGGAAGTTTGTTGTAATTATAGCTTAATATTTACTGGGATTAGTGCATACTCTAGTGTGCTTTTGTTTTTCCTGATCACTGATACTCCAGTTCTCAAAA